ATTAGGAAGAAGGTGAATGAGATGAAAGAAAAAAGCAGAGGAGCCATAATGGAGGGTGGGTCATCCTACATTTCTTTGGGACGTCTGATCGAGGATGTGATTAAAAATATGGATTTCCACTCTTAAAAATCTGAATAAAGGATGCCTCTCAGTGCACATATACTTTTCCAAGAACTATGGTGGTCTTCACTTATTTTCAACTGGATACAGGTTCTCCATGAGCTGCATGTGAACTAAATCAAAACAGCAAGTCTATTGGTTTGGATCTATTTTGTTTTAATGATAGTAACATTGGCTGTTATTTAGATAGGATTTCTATATATATTGCAACTATTGCTAATCCTATTGTATTGAGGTATTTCCCCATTATGAGATTACTAACACGTGCAAAGCAAGGGCTATTTTCTAGAAAGTTATCTTCACACGCGCACACGGGAAATGATGAAAATAAAAGCTAATTTCAATTGTGTGCCTCTAAACAAGTTATATAAATTCTTTGAAAATGTAGCTTATACATACATAATATAATACAATCAAAAGAATGTGCAGACTTATCTGATGGCATAGACCTAATTTTTATTTTCTGATCTTGCTTTCCATCAAAAGAAACAGAGCACATGGCAGTCTTAAACAAGACACACTACAACAAATGGTGTTATTTCCGACCCCAAAAGGCGTCGTAAAAGCCAAAAAATAGTGTCGGAAAAGAGTATTAACGACCCCAAATAGGGGTTGCATCTTGTGTTGGCAATGGCTTGGTCGCAAATGCCATATGAATTTAAGAGTTTTCCACTACCATGCACTATAATGCCAAGTTCAGCTGTAAATACACCAGCATTATCCCCAGTGACCTTCATGTATTCTGGTTTGATTTCAACTGGAATAGGTCATCCGTAAAAATCTTTAAGTTGTAACTTTTTTTCATTTTTTGCAATTCCACATCATTTCACCCTAGTCGAAGATGCACATGATTGGTACAACAGTCAATAAAAAATATATGAACATATAATGAAAAAAAGACGAACATAAGATGATACAAAGCAATTTCCTGATCAAAGTAGTGAAAAACAACATAAATAGATGATACATCCCAAATTTTATGCATAAGAGGAACCATCTTGGCCAACATATATTATCAGTGTACTGCAATTCAAAAAAAGTAGAGAAAAAATTTGGCTAGTTGCTGTGAGTGCACTTTTAAACATAATATTTAAAAGCTAAACTAGTTGTTCTGTTGAAAGCAAAAATTAAATGTAGAAACTCTTAATCCAGCACAATGGGGCTTAATAACATGTACTACAAATTCAACAAAGCAAACAACAGAGAATTGCTTCAAATTGGAGACTAAATTTAGTACTGATCTCATTCCCTAAACAGGTAAAATAATATTCAAAAAGTGTTAATGATCTACATGCAAAGCAGTTTTTAGAAAGAAAATTGATGGAACAGGTAAAATAATATTTAATTTCAAAAAATAATGATACCTGATGAACCATTGGTTGAAGCCATAAGAATACCTGGAAAACAGCTCTTGAAAGTACGGTATATATATATTGAACTAAAGTACAAAGTTTATTCTATTTGCATGTGTGAGTAGGTTTGTATGTATGTATCATGTAAATAAGAGGAGGAAACACTCGAATGCTAGATATTTGAAAAAACGGTGACAAGGAATACAGACCTCATGATTTATATGCAGGAAAACAAAAAATTGTAGGATACCTGATCCAGCAGCACTTGTTAGCAGATCTAACTCTTTTCAAATATCCTTCAAAAAGTGAATAGAGGCAAAAACAAAAAGAAGCAAATTAAAAAAATCAATTCCAAGGAAAAAGTAAACTCAGTAAAGGAAAACAATAAAATAAAACATGGTATCGTTGGTTCATGTAAGCCAGAGATGATATGTAAGAATACAGACCTTAACATACATAAACTGCAACTAAATGGTAAAATCTCACCATATTTTGTTTTAATTTAAACAAAGGGAGAAAGCACTAACGGAAAACAATAAAATAAAAAATTGATAAACTATCCCTCTTCCCAATCACTCTCGTCAGGATCATCATCAGTAAGCAAAGTATATTCCTCATCAGTGGTGGAATCAAATAGTTCAACATCTTCATTGTCAACCACATGGGTGTCTTGCCTACACTTGTGAACAACTTCTACATCAATCTGATCACTGGGGATGTCATCCCTATTCAATGACAATTGATCTATATTTGGGCAATCTTATACAACCCCATCAACAATGCAAGGCTCAGACTCTTGACATGCATCATTCTTAGTGTTACTTTCATCTTCCTTTTCCTCTCCCTTTCTATCTTCCACCACTGAAACATCAAATATTCTTCTACAAGTTATTTTCTGAACCACCTCCCATGAACCCTGTAATTTGGTGTCCTTCACATAAAAGACTTGTTGGACTTGTTGAGGTAGAACAAACGGCTGATCCTCGTACGATCGACGTGATACATTAACGCTAGTGAAGTGGGGATCTTTGTGTATACCCAGCTTTGTAGTAACATCCCTCCAATCACACTTGAAAATGAAAACCTTTCTACCTTGAATGTATGTCAACTCAATTACATCTGTTAAAACACCATAATATTCAATGCGTTCACATTTAACAGATATACCACTATTTTGAGTTTTTCGATTTTGCTCCCTATCCTTTGTGTGAAATCTTGATCCATTTACAATGCAACCAGAGTATCGTTTGACTCGTCATTCAGGTCCACATGCCAATGAAAAAGTATCATCATTTATTGATAAGTCCTTTAGTTGTCTCATTTACTTGATTTATAAACACAATACATATTAACAAATAATTACTTCCAATTACAATAAATTATATAATTAGAAACAATAGAGAAAAGCAATAAACACTTACACGTTGTTCAAACCAAATTGGAAATTTCAGTGCATGCCTTCGTTCTACCATGGATTGTGTTGGTTGTGGTAAAAGTTCCATATATTCTCTACATACATATATATTTTAAAATGTTACAAGCAACCGATTATAAAAAATAGGGTTAAATGCAAAAAAACCTCCTGAACTATTGCCATATTGCAACTAACCTCCCTGAACTACAAAAAACCCCCCTGAACTATCATTTTATTGCAATTTCAGCCATTCTGGCATGTGACCTAATCGGAAATAGAAAATAACCAATTTCGCCCTTGATAAAAATGGTGTAGTATTGGTTATATGATGAGTTGTCTGAGTTATTTTAATGACGTGGTAGATTGCAATCTCCAGGACCAATAACCAAGCGACAACACTGAGCCTTATCATTTCGTATGACCCACCTCTACCATAACCCACTAAAGCCAGTCATTTTATGAAGCACTGCATTCGCGCCATTTTCTTCGCACCAAGCTCTGATAATCTGGGTAACTTAACATTTATTGCTCAGTTGATCTGGATATGAAGTCTGAAATGGTATTCCATCAGTAATTCTCTCAACCCTAAATAATCTTCAATGTGTTTTATATATCTGTGGAATGATATAAAAAATTATTTTAGAAAGAAATGAAAACCTATGGTTGTTGATTTTTTTACCGAAATTTGTTTTGTATGTTTTATTTTTATTTCTATAAATGAGTTGGGAAGTTCATTATTGCCCAAAAACCTAAATCTATCAAATGAAGTTTGTCGATTTAACTTTTATACATGATTTATGAAGGTCTTTGTTGTGTGTTTCAGAATGGCCGACCATCCCCTTTTATATTGTGGCTTTATATGCTTTGCTTTGTTCTTTAGTGTTGAAAAATGAAAGGTAGAAAAGTCGCTGTTTTTTTTTTTTTTTTTTTTTTTGATTGCACCAAACACTAAATATGATTGGGACCCTACATATTATCTTTTTGTTGTTAAATATCAATTGTGGTCCCTTATATTAATCAAAGCAATATATTTTATAGTGGTCCTTATTCTGTATTCAAAGCTACTAGTTGTAGTCAGTTTTCTTTCAATGGTGGTCCCTATATTTATTGGTTTGTCATTGATATGTTTTGTACACTTTGTTGTGTATTAAATTTGTCGATTATTAGTGATTGAAGTGTCAAATAGTTCTCTGTGATCACTATTCTTGTTTTATAACTAAATATATATTTATTTAGTTATATATTTGTTTATTGGTTATTGTAAATTATTGTTGTAGATGAATGGCCTTTATAGCATTGAACTTCACCATGGGGGTGTTGTTGAGAAATCACATACTATGACATACCTAGGAGGAAGTGTATCTGAATTTGACAATGTAGACCCTGACAAGATGTCACTTATTGTGATTCAAGCTTTGGCTAGCAAGTTGGGCTATGGGGTGATTAAAGAAGTATTTTATAAAGTACCTATGAGTGGCAGAACTTTAGAGAAGTCAAGTGTGACTTAGATGTTTTTAGAATGTTTTATGACCATGAAGCCCATAGGGTAACCAATAAAATCAGGTTGTACATTGTTGCACTTGTGCTGAATAGTGCAGAAAATGAGGATGACTTCATGCAAGGGATTGAAAACTCAGATGAAGTAGGGTGGGAGTATGCACTACATGAAATAGACAAAAATTGCTCCTGTTCAATCAAATTATGGTCATATTGATGATTTAGTCAGTCTATGTGGCTCTGATGACACTGAAGAAATTGATTCAAGTTCTGTATACAAAGACTTATATCCTTTAAGGGATTTGGGGGAAAAGGAAGTTGAATTAGGTATGAGGTTTGGTTTAGCTGCAGATTTCAGATTGGCACTTAGAGAATTATGTTTGCAGAATAAGTTTGATATTAAGTTCACAAGAAATGATGGAGATAGGGTGAGTGCAGTGTGTAAAGCTAATTGTGGTTGGAAGATACATGCAAGTAAATCAGACGGTGAGAACTGTTTGGTAGTGAAAACATATGTCTCAGAACATACAAACTGCCTCTGGTTTAATAATAATGGACAAGCCTCATCTTCCTATTTAGCAAACAAGTACTTATAACACCTGAGATTGAACCCCAAAATGCCTTTGGATTCACATAGAACCACTATTGCAGTTGATTTGGACATTGATGTGTCCAAACACAAAGTGTATAGGGCAAAGAGAAATGCATTAGAAATGATTGAGGGGAATGAAGCAAACCAGTATGCAAAAATGAGGGATTACTGTAGTTTAATTCTTAGAACCAATCCTGGCAGTGTTGTTAAGATAACAACTGAACCCACTCCTATTGAAAATGTTAGGAGATTTCAGAGAGTTTTTATCTGCTATTCTGCAATGAAAATGGGTTTCAAAGAAGGTTGTAGGCCACTAATTGGTGTGGATGGTTGCTTCCTTAAGGGACCATATGGTGGCCATCTTTTGAGTGCAGTCTCTACTGATGGAAATAACCTAATGTTCCTAGTTGCATATGCAGTAGTGGAGGTTGAGACAAGGGATTCTTGGGAATGGTTCATGGGAGAACTGATGGATGCTGTGGGGCCTTACTATGGTATCACATTCATATCTGATAGATAAAAGGTTAGTATATTTTATATGTTTGCTTAGTAATTTTTTAATACTTTACAATCTTGGAATTTAATTTTGTTTGGTTTAAATTATGGTTCTCAGTTAGTATGTTTGTTGTTTTGTTTGTAATTCAAGGTTTAGTAGACACATTTGAGAACATCTTGCAAGGGAGTAATCACAGGTACTATGTCTATTACTTTCACATATATTATTACTTTCACAGATTGCAACTTGTGTTAGATTTAGGGCTTTTAATGATCTACTTTGTGAATTAGGAATTTAGGATCAGTTTTTGTTTGAATTGTTTTCAGCATTGTAACTTTTTTTTTAAAGATTTTGATACTTTAACACATTGTTGGACAATTAGGGTTTGGTGCTCTAATTTTGTGTTTTTTAGTTCATAAATTGATCTACTGGATTATCTTACTTTGTCTACCACCTTGCCTTTATGGGTGGTAACTGTCAAATTTTTTATACATTCTTGTAATTTGTAATTTTCATTATGCTTTGCTATAGGAAAAGCTTAAAGAACACAGAAGGACTACCTGTACATTTTTTTTTTTTTTTTTTAGTTAGGGATTTGGTTTTTCAAGAGTGTACCTTCAACCTTTTCAACATCATAGAAAGTGCGAGCAATCTTTAGAGCAACTTCTTTAGTGATACATTCTAAGGAAGGGTTCTGAAATTTTGATCCAAAGAGGAACTCATTTGAAAAGATCATTAGGTCTCCACGAAATGAGAATTAGTAACTGGCCATCAAAGCTCCATGGAGTGGAATTAAGGACCCTTTGCATTGGTTTTGAATCTGGGAAATTGAAATGAAAATAGTTATTCTCTGCTTTAGATCTCCTGGACAAACTCATAATTCCCCATAATTGTATAAAAAGGTTATAATAGCTAAGTAGAGAAAAGAATGTATTAGATAGAGCTATCTCAAGCTAAAGGTTCCTTTGCTTCCTCTCTACCTGTTCTTTATAATGAAATATTGTTTTGCAGCTTCCCAAAAATTATTGTTTTGATAGTAATCAATTCTTTTAATTTATTATAAATTAAAAAAAAAAAAAATTGTAAATGTTGAAGTAAATTGGGTTTAATGTAATGTCTTCCCTATTTCAGATGACGAGAATGGAGAATAAACAAAAAAAAAAAAGAAAAAAGTGTTTGGTTGTTTGTTTTTATTTTTTACTCAGTATTTTTTGTTTTTTTCAACTTGAAGTTGCATAATTAACATTTGAACATGACTTCTCTCTGAAAATATATTTATATGAAGGTAGGGAAAAACCACTAAGCTGATATGGATTGAAAGAGCAAATATGTGCAACTTTTTTAGGGTGGGAAAAAAATAGAATTTTTTGTCAAACAGAATATATGAATGTGACTATTGGTTTATACAATTGAATTCTTGAAGTTACATGGGATATCCTGATATGAAAAATTAATTAAGATTGCTAAAAGACATGATCAATGCCCTGAATAATAAGTTTATTTTTCAAGCTATATCATTAAGAAATGTCTTCTTGGAATTCTTTTGTTCTTTTTTAGACTATATGTTGTACATGTTAAGCCAAATGGTATGAGTAGTGCATATGATATGTCTAAATTAATTTGAAAGCATATATAATATGGTATTAGATGCCTTTTCTTGTCCCCAAAAGGAGAAAGAAAAAAAAAAAAAAAAAAAATAGACCTGTGTTCCAGTCAATGTGAAATTATTAAAATCTTAAGTTCATTACAATTCTACTAATTAAACTTCAAATTGATCAATATCACTTACACAAGTTTATTTAATAGGTACTGTGTTTAGTTTAATTGAAATAATTAAACTAAGCACAACAAGAGCTGTTTATTGAATTTTTTTTTTTTAGTTTTACTTCAAACTAAAAATTTAGTTTCATAAGGTGAGCTTGCTTTAAATTACCAAGTACTGTGTGAGACACTTGTATGAAAACTTCAAGCTCCGGTTCAAAGGGCAGCAGCTGAAAATTGAGTTATGGGAGGCTGCAAGGGCATGTACAGAAGCTGATTTTGAACAACATATGAGAAATATTAGGCAAATAAATGTTGAAGCACATGATTGGTTGAGAAAGGTCCCACCTCATTTGTGGTCTAAATCAGCCTTCAATTTTACTTCAAAAAATGATGTGGTGATCAATAATATGTGTGAAAGTTGGAACTCAGTTATTCTTGAAGTAAGAGACAAACCAATCATGTACATGCTGGAGTGGATTCGGAGGCATCTCATGCTAAGGTTCCAAGTTAAGAGAGAGTGGATGGAATCACAAGCTGGCTTATTATGTCCAGAAATACAGAAGCAATTGAACAAGGTGAAACAAGCAGCTAGAAATTGCAAGGTGCATTACGCTGGTGAGAACAAGTATGAGGTTCAATGCTATGGAATTAGTGAGGTTGTCGACCTTAACCATAGATCATGCAGCTGTAGGGTTTGGAGTTTGACTGGTATCCCTTGCAAACATGCTTTAACATGCATATTTACCAAGAGAGACCAATCTGAAGCATATGTTGATCAATTCTATCAAAGGGAAACTTACTTAAGGTCATATGCTGGGTTAATCATGCCCATTCCTATGAGAAGGTTGACGAAAATAGACCTTATTAACCCTTTGCTTCCACCTTACTTTAGAAAACCTACTGGTAGACCAAAGAAGGTTAGAAATAAGAAAAATGATGACCCCAAGAGCTCAACTAAACTTAGTAGGTCTAAGGAAAGTCTAAAATGCTCAAAGTGTAAGGAGAATGGTCATAATTCAAGGACTTGTATTTTACCTGAAGCATTGGTCATTGAAAAACCTCCACCAAGAAGGGGAGGTAGACCACCAATTCTTGGCAGAGGAAGAGGAATAGCAAGGGGAGAAGTGGCTGGTATTGGTGATGGTGAAGTGGCAGTAAAGGGAAGAGACAGAGGAAGACCAAGAAGGGGTGGAAGAGCAAGAGGAAGTGAAGTTCCAAGTATGGTACCTTCAAATCAAGAGGTAAGGCTACTTAATAATCATAAAGCATATCTTCAAGTCAAATTTTTATTTATTTATTTTTTTTTAGGATTGAATTTACCTCACTATTGTTATTGACTTTCATTTTTTAGGTTCAAAATATAAGAATGTCCCAGCTAGAATCAACTCAAGCATCATCTTTTGGGTATTGCAATTTTTGTTGTCTTGAAGTGGATAATGATTTTTTAGAAATTACAACAAATTCCCATGTATTGATAGGTCAATGATGGATGGTAGTGAGTATGCATGTTGGTAATTCTGATGGTTACAGCTTCTAGTGATGTTTTTTTTTTTTTTTTTTTTTTTTTTTTTTTTTTGCTGATGTTGATGGTTCCCTTGCTGTTGGGGTTGTTTTTTTGGCTGATGTTGATGGTTCCCAGTTGCTGTTGGAGGTTGTTTTTTTGCTGATGTTGATGGTTCCCAGTTGCTGTTGGAGGTTCCTTTTTTTGCTAGTGTTGATGGTTCCTAGTTGCTGTTGGAGGTTGCTTTTTTTACTGGTGTTGATGGTTCCAAGTTGCTATTGGAGCTTGTCTTTTTGGCTTTTGTTGATGCTTCCCTGTTGCTAAAAATCTTAACAATTTAGAGATGGGAGTAGATTAGTGTATCTATGGAATTAACTTAATGTTATCAAGTTTCTCTTACTTGTACTGCTACTATGACTGAAGAACATATTTGTTATTTTGTTCATTGCAACACTGTGGTTGTTAAGTGTTGTGTTATGTGATCTTAAGAATGTTATTTAAGTATGTTTTGTGGCTATTGCACCATATCTCTATCAATTTGTTTTGTTCCTCCTATTCTTCCTACAAATGCCAGAAAGGTTGTTAAATGGTACTGCACTTATTTGATGCCACAAAAAAAAAAAAAAAAATGAAAGGAACTTGTTCACTGCATTGCATTCATTCAACAACCAAATTTTGTCCAAGCTAACTTTTTTGTCCATTCCATAAATAGAAGAAAAGGGAAGCAATTTGTAGCCATATACATCAAAGGAAATTAATAACATAACACCAAATTAAGAACAAAAGGAAAATAATTTTCATTATACATCAAAATATTACAAGATTGAAGAGCCTGAACAAAAGTTATAACACAACCGAGCTCCCAAAACAGACCCTTCAATACACAACCTTAACTTCCACACCATCTCCTTCAACACATGAGTTGAACTCCCAAAACAGAAAATTCACTTTAACAAAAGGGAAACAATTAGAATTACAACTGATAACCCAAAGAAATACAAGCTTGCAACAAACATTAACTTGGTAATTGAATTGATGTCAGTCATAGGTGTTAGAGGAGGAACTGGATGTGCTGCTTCATTTTCATCTGCTGTAGTAGTTAATGGATTATTCCACCATACAAAAAAATTATAGACTTCATCCTTGCACTTGAAATAAAGCTTTCCAGGATTGTCTCTTGACTCAGAAATGAGTACGCCTGCCCTTTGGTCACAAAAACATTTTCTGTTCCGAAAGGGACCCCTTCGGTGGGAAGTACGAGTCGATGATACGTGACTTATTCTCTGCAAATAATATCACATAAACGTAAAATTCATACCTCAATACACACACACACACACACACACACACACACACATATATAGACAATCACACACACACACACACACACATACACACACACGTACATATATACTGAACATTCATAGCCCAAGCAATTTCTGGATTTTTTCGAAGACGAAGGCCACAGATGAACATTCACAAAAATAAAAAGATGAATACAAACCCTTACCACACACACACACACACACATACACACACACACACACACACACACACACATACTGAACATTCATAGCCCAAGCAATTTCTAGATTTTTTTGAAGACGAAGGCCACAGATGAACATTCACAAAAATAAAGAGATGAATACAAACCCTTACCAAAAACTTAGTCGATGTTTCCAAAGACAAGGCTAGAGATGAAGCTTGATTGATTTTGGGAAGACAGATTCAGTCAATCTAGGGCAAACAAATTTCTCGATTTCCAAGACGAAGGCCACAGATAAACATTCATAGAAATAAATAAATGAATACAAACCCTTACCAAGAACTTGATCGATGTTTCCGAAGACAAAGGCCACACAGATGAAGCGTGACTGATTTTGGGAAGAAATTTCTCGATTTTTGTTAGAAGGCTATGTTTGGTTGTAATCGTATACACTGATATAGGCTGATATATGATCGTTTTGTTATAACGGTAACAAGTAAGGGCATTTTTGTCCTTTTATGTGAATAAGGGTATTCTGGTCTTTTATTTTACAAATCTGCATCACGTGATGGCACATGCCATTTTTAACGGTCAAAGCTGCTGGATTCCTACCGGATGGAGTCATCTGTAACAAAATTGAATACTTCAGGGGGTTAGTTGCAACTTTTGTAGTTTAGGGGGGTTAGTTGCAGATATGGCAATAGTTCAGGGGTTTTTTTTTGCATTTAACCCTAAAAAATATATGAAGATGTAAAATTATTGAAAACAAAAAATCAAATAAAATTAACTAACCTCAATATCGGCTGGATTTCATCACAGTTGTTCAAAACATATAAATGAGCCCTATCAATGTCCATCAAATCCAATGTATCATAACTAGAGGAACCTAATGGACGAAGGACTTGTCTAAATACATACAAGGAAGCTCCTTGCACAGTTTGATCTCCCTCATAATTCCGTTCTTCACGGTTAAACTGTGTCTCAACTCTACTGAGATACGAAGAACAAAAAGTTATGCATTCACTATCCACGTAAGCTTCAGCAATTGAACCCTCCGGGCGTGCTTTGTTGCGCACGTATGACTTAAGAGTGCACAAAAATCTTTCAATAGGGTACATCTATCGATATTGTACAGGACCAGCTATGAGTGCCTTCTGGGGCAAATGAACAGCAAGATGAACCATGATATCAAACAATGTTGGAGGGAAGATCATCTCTAACTTACAAAGTATAAGAGTAATATCCCTCTCAAGAGCTTTTAGCACTTCAACTTTTAACGTCCTACAACACAACTCCTTAAAGAAAATGCCAAGTTCAGCCAATGCATTACAAATATCATGATCTAAGCAACTACGAATGTCAACTGGTAAGACTCGCTGCAGAAGAACATGCGAGTCATGACTTTTCATCCCGTATATTTTGCATTCTGCAACATTAACACACTGAGATATGTTAGATGCATATCCATCTGGAAATTTAATCGTCTTCAACCATTCGCAAAACTCTTTTTTTTCTTTTTCTTTTGTTGACAGTGTGTAACGTGCAGGTGGCATCACATATTTTACACCAGTAGAGATAAGATGTTATTCTTTTCTTATTCCCATCTCTTGTAAATCCAGACGAGCCTTCAAACTATCTTTTGTTTTCCCTTCAATATTCATTAAGGTCCCCAACACATTGTCACATATATTTTTCTCAATGTGCATGATATCAAGGTTGTGCCGCAACTTGAGCAATCTCCAATATGGTAATTCAAAAAAAATGCTTGTTTTTATCCAATTAAGCTCGATTGTAGTACGTTTCCTCTTTTTAATATTTGGTACCTTCCTGAAATTGACATCCCTTATATGATCTAATTGTTCTAATTTTTCTAGAATCTCATCCCTAGACAACTCCTTAGGTGGTAATCTGTGCTCTTTATAACCATCAAATTACTTCAAACGACTCCGCTAGTCATGATCCAAATCCAACCAGCGTCGATGACCACGGTAACTAATCTTTTTACCATTTTTCAACCACACTGATTCTGTGTTGTCCATGCACCTTGGACATGCCATGTACCCCTTCGTACACCAACCGGACAAATCCGCCAAAGCAAGAAGGTCATTTAAAGTCCATAGACATGCCGCATGTAATTTAAACTTTCTTCTAGTACATGTATCAAAAGTTGAAACGCCATCCACCCACAATTCTTTTAACTCATCTATCAACGTTCTCAAATACACGTCAATGTCCTTTCCAGGTGATTTTGGACCAGGAATAAGTAACGGCATGAACACATATGGATCCCTCATCAATTTCTAAGGTGCCGCATTGTATGTTACAATAAAGACAGGCCACACGTTATATGCATTGTTCATGTTACCAAATGGATTAAATCCATCAGCTCCTAACCCTAATCGAATGTTTCAAGGGTCTTTTGCAAACCAACCATGTTGATTATCAAATTCCTCCCAAGCTCTAGAATCTGCCGGATGTTTTAAAACATTCGTCTCCTTAACACGCTTTTCCTTATGCCACCTCATATCTTTCGCAGTCTTTCTTGACATATACAATCTTTGAAACCTTAGTTTCAAGGGAAAATATCGAAGAACCTTCTGAGGAACTTTTTTCCTTTTGCCTTCATGGAATTTATACCGAGGTGCACCACATTTAGGACACTTTTCATTATGCTCATATTCCTTCCAAAAGAGTACACAATCATGTTTACAGGCATGAATCATCTCATAGCCAAGTCCTAAATCACGCAATATTCTTTTAAGCTCGTAATGGGATTTTGGCAATGTCTTATCTTTTGGCAACAACTCTTTAAGAAACTCAAGTAACATAGTGAACGACTTATTAGTCCATCGATTCATAACTTTTAGATGGAGTAACCTAAGAATACAAGACAACTTTGTGAATTTCTGACAACCTGGATACACCTCACATTGTGAATCTTGCAACAATCTCGCAAACCTATTTGCACCCCCTTCCCCCTCACCCTCAGGGATATTAAGTGGACTACTATTATGTTGAATATCTTCTTATTCAATATTCATGTATTCTCTAATCCGTATGTCTTCCAAGTATTCATGCACTTCATCAGCATTTCCACTTTGGTCTTCTATATCATTAACACCAAGCTCAACTTGATCATTATTTGAGTTTTGAACACTCTCTCCATGATATATCCAAGTCGTGTATTGTTTATACATTCCATACTTGTATAAATGATCCTTCACTTCTTTTAGTTGCCTTACTAGCTTGTTTTTACAACTACGACATGGACAGTGCGCTCTATTTAAACCATCCACATGACCACTCGCAAACTAAATGAAATCTTTTATTCCTTGCAAATATAGTGGATGAACCCTAGTTGGAATTTGCATCTAACTCTTATCTATCTAAATACACATAGAACAATATATTAATTAATCAAGACATAAAACAACAGACATAAAAATGTGTTTGCTTGGGAAGATTTAAAACTGGCTAAGTGTGTGTGTATGTATGTGTATATATATATATATACTGGATAAAATAGAAATGTGCTAAAGTGAATAATCTTAATTTCAGTGAAAAAAGAGTAGATAAACCCTAAAGCAGCATGGAATTGGTATTTATAAGCATAAAAAGTTCATAGACCCCGCTTCGTGAAGGTGCTTTTGTGGTTTGTCTAGAAGGAACCAATTGCATAGTGTTTAGCTCTTGCTGATGAGATTGTACCCGTTGCCATAAACACAAATGTAACTATGTTTC